AACAAGTTGCATGAAGCTTGCTCGTTTTTCTTCTACATCAGAGACAATCTGTGCCAGGAGAGAAGTTGTCTTAGTAGGGCCAATAGAAAAGCATTCGTCCAGCTATTAGCACAGGGGTCGGCAACCTTTCAGAAGTGGTGTGCCTAGTCTTCATTCATTCACTCTGATTTAAGGTTTCGCGTGCCAGTAATACATTTTAACATTGTTAGGTCTCTTTCTATACGTCTATAATATATAACTAAACTATCGTTGTATGTAAAGTAAATAAGGTTTTTTAAATGTTTAAGAAGCTTCATTTAAAATTAAATAAAATGCAGAGCCCCCGGACCAGTGGCCAGGGCCCAGGCTGTGTGAGTGCCACTGAAAATCAGCTCGCGTGCCACCTTCTGCACCTGTGCCATAAGTTGCCTACCCCTGTATTAGCACATTCTCATAATAATAGAATACACAAATTTGTATCAAAAGACAATCCCTCTTCATTCTACGCTGGTGGAAAGCCATTGCCTCAGCAATGCTCAAAATGTTTTCCTAGATGGGGTCATGCCATGAAATATTAGCAGACCTTTTTATAAAGAAAAGATGATGAGTGGAAATAAAGGAATGTGCAGGAAGTGAGGGATGTACCCGTTTACTTAGTAACATTAGCTTTAACTTAAAACAATGAAGGGAATAAGTTCACATTTCACCTTAATGTAGCACGGATGTTTTTAAAGCAGCTGCTCTCTTTTGTACGGGGTGTATGGGTGCGCTGGGAATAAACTACGCTTAAAGATTATTAAAATGAATATCTGTTAAAAACAGATACTGAACTAGATTACTAGGATGTGCCCATGCAGGGAAGTAAGGGGACATCAGATGTGCCTCCTGCCCCACATGAGTTACCTATATCACAGGTCATAACGTGAGTGGGAAAGCAGCTTCCTTGGGACTGCTACTCCCTCTCCCATTCAGTTGCACAGGCAGAGGCAGACCCATGCCTCCATCCTCCCAAACACACGAGCCAGCACCACTGAGCTGACACAGAGGAGGAAGTAATGGGTCTGTTCCCGGGCAACACACCTACACATTGTCCCTTACTCAGGCCTAGTGGCAAAGCCATAACCTACTCCATAGTAAATACGTATGCACCAACCCAGATTTCATTAGGTCACTGTCATCATTTACTATACGTTTGTACAGTGCTCAGCACCCATGGAGCCCCCAAATACTCAAGACCTCTAGGCTCTACTCCAATAATAATAATAATAATAATTGTTTTTACTTTCATTTTTGTTTTCATTTCCCTGAACATCTTGCTCATTTGAGCATGGATCATTTCTTTACAACAGTGCTCACACATGTCCATATTGGCTTACATTACCAGGCTGGAAGAGATGACATTTGAGCACAGGAAGATACTAAAAGAGAATCAGGATTACAAAATTTTGGAACTGAGTTAGGAAGGCAGCTGTCTCCCATTTGGTCTATTTTGTATTTTTAAAATTAAGTATTTAGACGAAAAACAGTGTTGACAATCAACCCAGTAGGTGATTTACTAGACGGGACAAAAGTATTTGCAAACACAAACAGGATGGTTTTGGTGGAGGGTACGGCTGAGGAACAATAGGGGATAACAGCAGACAACTTTCAAACTGCTTTCATGATTTGGATGATACGGCGCTATCTCAAAGGAACAAAGGGCTAGTGCATATCCTTTCATTGCAGGCTGATAAAAAAAGGCAGGAAAACCATCTATATTTGAGTGGCCTTCTTCATGGGTGAAATAAATGATACACAATTTTTACTTTCCCATTTATAGACAGAGAGACCCAGAAACAAAACAGCTGGCTAATTTAGAGCTCTCTCTGTTTGGCATATGAAGTGGACTCCATCATTCAGCCTGAGAGAAGTTTATTCACATTTTAGGATATCATTCTCTCTCTACTGACCAATCTCAACAGAATATCCCGGACATCATTGCTTTTGCTAACTTCAATACATGGCAATTAGGCCTATGGACACTGTAATGGAGAAGTAGCAACCCAGAACATCGAAAGCAGTGTTTTTCAGATGTTACTTGTCTCTCCCTAGTAAATTGTGATTAGCTCCCTGAGGCAGTGACCGTGTTTTACTGAACCACAGTGAAAAAAATTAGTTACTTATACCTGAATGCAGACAACAAATAAAATGAAATTCTGTTTAAACTCTGCTTGTTTTTTTTCCAGCTCCACAGATATTTAATTAAGTTGCCAGAATTTTTTTTTTACTACAGTCACTATTTATTACTGATACCTTCTGCTCAAATTCCATTGTTTTATGCTTTTAAGCAGCTAAGCTTATAACATCAAAGTCTGCCTTGAGCAGATGCTAATGTTCTAATCATTAATGCTCTTCTTGCACTTCTTTCCTTTCAAATAATTTGTTGTCCTTACTGTTTGCAACTGCTAGGCTTAAATTACAGTTCATATATTTATGTTTAGATGGGGATGTTACTTTCTTAGGGCTCTGCTCAACACACACAGAAATTTTGCCTGACTAAGGAGTGCTGAACAAACTGTTGGAAAAAGAAAATATATTCCATGCTTTCTATTTTTAAATACAATAAACTCATAAGTCTTGGACACAGATGGAATCAATTCAAATTTGGCAAGACTATTTCAGGTTCACTATATTGTACTCTGGGACTAAGGAAACAAAGAGACTAAGCCATTTCAAAATTATAAATCTGAGAAGTGTTAAAATAAAGCATTAACCCTGCTTCTGCTAGTACAAGGTTACTCAGAAAATTCTTTCAGTCAAGTTCACTCGCAAAATCTCTTATAGGGTGTAATTCATCCAAGAGCAGAGGGTCCATTTAAGCACTACAGGAAGGGTAAGGGGCTGGTTGAGCAGCTGCAAAAGAGACTATGCAACTCCTGTGCTCTCCAGGGAGGTTTCCCTGATGGCCACACAGAGGTCAGCATGAGGGGCAGCTTTTTGGATAGTGAAAGGGCCATGTTATACATTCCTAACCAGAGCCAATGTCCCTAGCAGACCAAAAAAGTGGTGTTATTCCAGCCCAACCTGTAGGATGCAGTACTTGATATGATGCAAGGCTTGCTTCATGCCCAACCCCTATGCTGTAGGTGTTGGATTTTGCTTCCCCAGTCATTCTGCATTTCACCAGCATAAAGCCCCGGCTTTACGCAGGTGAGGCAAATTTCATCCCTACTGTTGTATAAACCAAAACCTATGCATCTTTGTAACATATTAGAAGGGCTTATTTCACATGTTCATCATTTTGCCAAGAATACCATGTGCACTAAAGAGCTAAGCATACACTTGCAGCAAAAAGGACCTTTTCCCCATAGGGAGGGGCAGAAGTCTCTCAACCCCCATGTAAGTGGATGGGAATTAAGGGTGCTCGGCACCTTGCAGCAACAGGCCCCATACAGATGAAAACAGTTATCAGCCAGGATAATAATGATTTTGGCTTGAAAATCTGCATACTTCACAGGGGTGGAGAAAGGCTGAAAGAACAAAGAGCACTCTATGCACCCTTACGGAAATGGGGAAAGTGTTGAGTGACCATTGACCACGTTGCATTTATCTTTTTTCCCTCATTACTGCATTTTTATGATTGGTATGTGTTCAGAGCTGGCAAAATTCATGCTCTATAAGAGAGGAAACAAAAACAAATCCAACACAATGGTCATTTTAAAAATAACATGCCTCTGTTACATTTCACTAAATGCCAGCTGTCAATTTATTTCCCAATGTCCCTTTGCAAAAACTGATAGAACAAACCCTCACTGCTTGATGCATTTCTAAGCCATTCTCTAAAGAGAAAGTTTCCTGACTGCCATCTACTGTTCAAAACATTTTATTCAACTCCATTTTTTTTTGGTGACAAAAATACAGCACCACCAAAGCCAAAAACATGTCCTGTTTATCCACTTCCAATAATAAACAACAAATGTCTTTGGAACTTTTCTGAAAATAGTGTTTTCTTTAATAACATTTAAATTGACACACAATTGTTTTTGGATTTTAGAGAAAATCTTTTTTTAATCTAGAAAGTGTTAGGAGAAAACCCTTCCAGATTTATTAAATAGTTGTGTGCTATTATTGAGGGGTTCCTATAGTATTCTATGATAAGCTGACATCATCCAAAAGACCTTTCTTTCCAGGTCTTTTGGATGATGTCAGCCCCAATCCTGCAAACTTGTTAACTTAATTATGACCTCACCTGAGTAGAATCTGGATTCCATTACAGAGCAGTAAACTTTGGTACCTACTTCCAGCCTAAATGGTGCAATTTATAGGTTAAATTTAAAATAGAAGTCTGCTTGTGGAACAGATAAAACATCATTATTTTGGTTGCATCCTGGCTTATAAGGGTTACCTACTGGTGTTTGCTTAGTAGCAAGGGAAACTTCCTAATGGTTAAATCTATTCGACTATGGAAAGATTTCCAACAGTAGTAGCAGAAGCACCATCAGTTTGGCCATTTAAAACTAGACTGCAGAAAGTGTTAGATAATACAGTAAACTAAACAGTGGCAGAGGAATACGATGCATTTCCGTCTTCAGCTTCCAGAATACCTTATCCTATCACTTTGGTTCCCCCTTTCAGTACATTATAATTAATAAATATTGCACCTGTTGACCAATAATACTGACCTTCATCACCCTTCCACTCACAGGAAATGTAAGATTGTTGTGCAACATGTTGTAGTTGTGCAAAATGTCATATTAATGTGCTACAAAGGGAAGTTATGGCTAAAAGTCAAAAGCCAACTAACATAGTGACATGTGAAATGCTAAAATGAATGCACTGCAGTATGCTTACAATGCATCCACTATCCTGCAAAACTATTCCGATTATTTTGAAACAAAGTTGCAGAAGTCCATTAGTAAGTAAGTAAATGTGCCAAAACGTAGGAGCATTGTCTCAAAACCCTTCTGTCAGCTAGCACGTAAGATTTTTAATATGTTTTCCTGGAAAGAGTGAAATCTTGATTACTTGTTGTTTAAACCTACCTGGCTTGAAATGGGGTAAAGAATGGACTCCAGGCCATGTATCTTCATTTGGTGTTCCAAGTACCTGTTAGCAAAAGAAAAAAAGACCTCTTTAATTTTAGCACTGGTAATACTTGGCTCTTATATAGAGCCATTGTTCTACAGACCTCAAAGCACTTTACAATACAAACTGTAATTAAGCTTAATTAAGGAAGAAAAAAGTTAATTGACTTACCCACGGTCACATAACAAGTCAGTGGCAAAATCAGAAATCAGACACAGGAGCCCTGACTCCCAGTCCTTTACCCCTTGTCAGTAAATTGGACTATCACAGGGGTTCTCAAACTGTGGGTTGTGACCACATTTTAATGGGGTTCTCAAGGCTGGTGTTGGCCCTGGGCCCCAGCAAGCCGGAAGCCCAAGCCCAACCGCCCAGGGCTGAAGCCCAAGCCCAAGGTTACATGCCCCCCTGTCCAGAGCAGAAGCCCTTGGGCTTCAGCTTTGCCCACGCCCCTCCCCCACTCCACCCGGGGCAGTGGGGCTCGAGCGGCGGGGCTCAGGTGGGCTCGGTCTTTGGTCCCCCCTCTTGTGGTCAGGTAGTAATTTTTGTTGTCAGAAGAGGGTCACGATGCAATGAAGTTTGAGAACCACTGGACTCTATCAGACAATACATATATTAAAACTGACATTTCACTGACAAATGTCAACCTATTTGTACATCACAGAAAGCAGAAATGGCCCAGACTAGGCCTTTGAGCTCAATGGAAATTTAGATCTTTGTAATCCTAAACAAACTGAATGGGCATATACAAGTTAAACTATTTTCAACTCCAAGAGCTTGCTAACTGCTACGTAGCATAGCAGATGTACACCGGGGTTCTCAAACTGGGGGTCGGGACCCCTCAGGGGGTTGCAAGGTTATTACATAGGAGGTCGTGAGCTGTCAGCCTTCACCCCAAACCCCGCTTTGCCTCCAGCATTTATAATGGTGTTGAATATATTAAAAAATGTTTTTAATTTATAAGGGGGTCGCACTCAGAGGCTTGCTATGTGAAAGGGGTCACCAGTACAAAAGTTTGAGAACCACTGATGTACACAGATGGTGAACCAGACTCCTAAAAATGCAGTAGGAACAAGAACTTAAAAAGATTGGCCTTAATTTTACATGAATTTAGAGCTCATAAAAACTGAAAGACTGTGGAGACAGCAAACCACAGAACAGCTTCTGCTTCTATTCTCTTTGGTGCTGGCTCTTACACTGCCCTTATCATAATATCTGAGCGTCTTCGAGGGCCGGCTCTGGCTTTTTTGCCGCCCTAGGCAAAAAAGCCACCCGCTGCCCCCCCCTCCGCCCCCGCCCAGCGCAGCAGGGGAGGGTGCCAAGCCCCGTAATGGGCCTGCTTTACCAGCGGCCAGAGTGCCGGGAGCAGGGCGTAGAGCCCGGCCGGAACTCTCCGCGCTCTCCCCAGCGGCCGGAGCACGGGGTGGGACGGAGAGCCCCCGGCGGCCAGAGCGCCGGGAGGAGGGCGGCGAGCCCGACCGGGACTCTCCGCGCTCTCCCCAGCGGCCAGAGGGCCGGGGGGAGGGCGGCGAGCCCAGCCGGGGCTCTCCGCTCTCCCGGGTGGCCAGAGTGCTGGGGGGAGGGTGGAGAGCCCCCGGTGGCCAGAGCGCCACGGGGAGGGCGGCGAGCCCAGTCGCGGCCCTGCTCTCGGGCCAGAGCGCCCCGCTGCGCAGCCCCCCTCCAGGCGCCGCCCCAAGCAGATGCTTGGTGGGCTGGTGCCTGGAGCCGGCCCTGGCGTCTTCCACCAGCGTATTAAGTGATGTGACTCACATGTGGTTTATTCTCACTTGCATGCTTTACCCAGGGGATTATGCAGCAGCCCTCACCACTGCTACAGCACGTATGTTTCACACACATTTGTCTGTAGAAAATGAAACCGTTAAGTTTGGGGTACATCCCAGAGAGCACCACATCCACAGTTTCAGCACTACATATATCCTGAAATGTGAGTCTTTTGCACACACACAACCTGTTTCACCATTGCCTTGTGTAGTCATTTACACTAGTGCAAAGTGGGTTTGAAATGCTATCAACTCAGAATGGTAGCAATTTACATCTACTTTGCACTGGTGTAAATGAATACAAAAGGTGCAAGGCAGCAATGAATTAAGACTACTCCCCCCTGCCCCCGTAACATGTAGTAAACTCCACAGCATCTATGACACAACGTAAACTATTTCACCCTCTTAGTGAGAGCATCTCACCGCCAATGCAGCACCGCTGCAACCCTGGGGATTCAGCAGGAGAAAAATCTGAAGTAACATTTTTCACAAAGTCAAAAACAATGTGCAATTTTTCACTCAACTTTGCTAATTCAGTCACCAAAAACTCTAGAACTTTTCATTTAGTTTTTGTGAAATTTTAACAGTGTCACACTCAAAAATTATACTAAAAATAGTCATCAATTCACAGGGTAAAATCTAACCCCATTTAAGTCAATAGGATGTATGTCATTGATTTCAGTGGGGATTTCACTCTACATCTTTAAGGTCAGAAGGGACCACTGTGTTAATTTAATTAAGTCAAAGCACAATTGTCCAGCTGGCTGAAGAAAGACGGGAAGGGAGGAAGGGGAATGAATGTGGTTTAATTAGGCCACAACTTTATTCACTTATAATACCTGGAAGTACCCAGGAACAAATTGTACAGTGCAGGAAGGAGAGGATTTGGTTTTCTGCTGATCCAGATGCAGGAGCACCAAACCCTCTTCCTCAGTTCCCTGAAAGGGGGCTAAAAGGGATTAAGAAAAGGACAGCTTCCCGCTGTACACGACATAGGAGCCCCAAACACCCTTACTCTGCTTCCTTAAGGGATATTTCCTTCAAATCCTTTTCCAATCCATTTTATCTGAGAACTGTATCCTTTCCATACTGAGTATGTGCACTGGACATCAATAACAAGTTTTATGTACTAAGTTGCAACATTATAACCCAACCCCCTACATCACCCCAATGGGTCCCAGATCAGCTGTGGGGAAGGTGGAAAAAAAAAACATTCTGCCTCGGCCAATCTGAGGGTGAGGGACAAATTCCCTCCCAACCCCCAAGGCAAAGGGCAACTTGCTATTGCTTACAGCGGGTCAAGAGGGAACTCGGTCCCTTTGCCAAGTTCCTGGGTTGGTGCTGCCTGCCCAATCCTGATAAATCAGGGTCTCTCTATAGCTGCATGGGGTATAAATCCCCCCCCCTTCCAGTTAGCAGGAAGGGCAGTGTAATGACCTTCTGACTTGGCCCCAACTACTTCCTGCCCTTCTTGTCTATCCCTGTAAACTTTCCCTCTCCTCGCCACCCCTTGTAAGAAGTCCCTTAAAGGGGCAACACCGTTATCTTCCATCTAGCTAAACAAAGACCTCCACACACGAAGGCTGCATTGGGCACAATGGCTGGGGCCTGGTGAAGAATCCCAGGCCCAGCTTTTCTCCGTAATCTGTAAGGAGATGGGTAACAGGTAGGGCTGGGTAGTGGGGTGTGTGTGTGTGAAGGCAGAGGAACAATGTGGGCAGGCTTAAATGAAATGTTAACTCATCTGTTTTATAAGGGTATTTGATTTTGGTGTAGTGGTGGGTCTGTTTCTTTACTGGAGTGTTTTTAAAAGAGTGCCCAGGGTACCTAATGCCTTGGGATGGATGACATTTTATTCTAGAGTAGTTAAAAATTGAAATATATGGTTAGGAAGGTAGCTTAAATTTTAATTTGTACAATCTTAAATAATTGGGATTCCTATTTGTTGTTCACAGTAACTACTTTCTACAGTAACATTAATATTATGACCAGTGGCTTTAAAATCTGATTTATAACGAACTGATCATTAAAAAATACCAATGTATATTATCTCTAGGGGCTACATTTATTAAACATATTTAAAATTATCACTGGAATTTAAATTCATATTAGAAATCAGGTAAATGCATATGAATGAACATTCTACTTATGAAAAGTCAGTTTCCAAAACTCATTCATAAATCTATCTCTAACAGTTTTGTTCCTGCGCGTTCTTCTTAACTTTAGTACAAATGAGTGCAAGCAGTCATGTCTCAAAGCAAAAGCAAATCTGAGGAGGGTGAATTCTAGCATCCCTCTGTTTTATTGATTATTCAGGGAGGAGGTAGCGATAAAAAAATCACTGGTAAAAGAGTAAATAAGAAGTAAAGATGATGGTGAGAGCGGGCAACAAGCTCTTGCAACTCCAGGTGAGCAAAAAATGCTAGAATGCAAATTAGAGGGGAACAAAAAGATTCCCTCTGAGTAACTTAAAAAGGATGCTGGTAGTTTCTTATAGCAGAGATGCTATGCAGCATAGAAGGTTTCTTAGGTAGAACTGGATTCTTATGCCTATGACCAAGAACACTCCTTCCCACCTGTACCTTCTGAGAAGAACATGACCTTTCCTTCCCAACGTTCACCTTGCTAGAGATATCTAGGCCTTATCACCTCAAAACTGGATTACTGTAATGCGCTCTATTTGGGGTCACACACTGAGACCACTTGGAACTCAGCACACAGCTCCTGGTTTACTAAGTGCAATTGCACCCTGAAAGGCATTGCACGTCTGTGCTTGAGGAACTGCACTGGCTGCTATTGAGTTTCTGTGTGGAATCGAAAGGGTTGTTTTAACCTACCTGTTTTAACCTTTATGGGGTGGGACCTGGTTGCCTGAGAGACTGCCTCTTTCCCTGTCTCTTTTGGCACAACTGAGGTCAGCAGAGGCACTCAAGGAGGAGCCCCCTCAATGTAAAAACGAGGGAGCTGTTGGCAATGGGTCCCCATGAGGGGTCCTCAGCTCTGGAATTCACTCCCCTCCCTTGGCGCAGCAGAACCACTTTTGTTAAGCTTCAAGGCAGGCTGCAAAGCCTATCTTTTCTCTGAGGCATTTGGGGATGGGCTTGGCTGAGGAGACTTCATTGTTTTTAATGACTGCTATGGAGGGGTTTTAAAATCTTTTTTACTGTGTCTGCCATAATATATCTATGTATTGAGTGTTGGAATGGCCTGAGCAATCTGTGATGTTTATTATGAAAATTAAAT